GGGGAGAGACTTGGGTAAAAGCAGATAGATTATAAAACGCATAAGGCATCACATAGCAGAATTTTATGAATTACAAATTATGGATTATCATCACAATCTCGGTGATTTTATCCAAAGAGCAAGAGGCACAATAATATGTTGTCTGGGGGTCACTTTTGATCATTCAAACATTCATCCTAATGCTGGGCTGTCAGAGTCGAAGCATATTTTTTGCTTTATTTAATTTCTATTACTCCTGTATCTCAGTATGATAATGATAATACACATACATGTAGGGCCTACATTTTCTCGCTAATTTCAGCTGTAACATCAGGTAATTTCCATCTTCTTAAATCACAAATATATTCTATGAAAGATAAATGTAATATATTCTATGAAAGATAAATGTAATATATTCTATGAAAGATAAATGTAATATATTCTATGAAAGATAAATGTAATATAGAAAAGTTGTTCCACCAACTTCAAGAAAAGAAGAACAAGCTTTAGTTTCATAACAATAACTTTCTCCATATGCCCAAAGAATCACATTATATTAGCCTGATTCCACCACACCAAAACACATTCATCAGGATGTCGTGGAATCAAGTGCGCGTTAATTTGTGGGCATATAAAATTATTAATAATATCATCTTATAAAGCGCTTTTATTTATCTTGCATTTGGGAAAAAAACAAACTTCTATCAAAAACAGAAGTCCAGACATTTGTAATTGAAGGAGGTGTGGGGATCGCCTGGTATGAGAGGTAAAAGTAGCGAGAAAATGGCTGCCACCGTGACTTCCAAAGTTGAGTTTCTTTGGTAACTGGAAATTTAAATTTGAGTGCCTTTAATCAATATTTTTGTAACATCCACACAGAAATTGGTTTTTAAAAGGATGAAATAGGTGTTGAACCAAGAGAAAAATATTTTTTCTAATGGCCCAATACACAGAAAAATGTCGAGCGCCTGATTTCACCACGACACTGCTGCACATACATGATACCAAGGAGTTGAAAACCTGCACTATTTCCGTCACATGTAAGAAGACCATTATGACTTGTCATAAGTTTAATCACATTCTATACCCAACATACAAAAGCAGGGGAAAGCATTTGAGACATTGCTTGCAAAGCAAAACAAGGCAAGATAAGTTTCCTTTCAAAAGAAAATTTAAGAATAAATAAGGATCACTGGTACTGGTACATTTTGTCTGGGTAAGAACAACAAAATAATGAATAAACAACAACACTGAAACAGAACACTGGTAGACATTTGATTTTGAAACAAGAATGAGGAAGACAGCTCTGAATACAGGAGGAGTGTCTTTCACTAAAACCGCTTCTATTGTTGCTTCGTTTTCATTTTCGTTTTTTTGGGGGGTAGGTCTTTGTGGGTGAGGGTGTGTGTTTGTTTGTGTGTGTGTGTGTGTGTGTGTGTGTGTGTGT